CCTGTGCATTTCTTACTTTGCCCTGAAATAAAACCTCTACTTTTCTTGTCCTTGCACTCTTACTTGTAAAGCCTGGCCTATAAGCTTAAATATATTTTCCTGCAGGAACAATCCTTGCTACTTTACCTTTGCTTCAACCACACTAAATAGTTGACAAAGCACAACTGCCAACTTTAATGGGCTTCGCCTCCCCAGCCACTCCTCTCTTTACAACAAGGGTCTTCATATTCCAAATGGATGGTTTCTAAAGAGAACCATTCAATCAGCTTACTTTTCTAACTCTAGTGCTATCGAGTTAAAAACAAAAAAAAGTCTCCTTTTTTTTCTCAACTGTAGTGTGATGTTTTTCCTTTTATTTTATGAATTCAGGATGCCTGATTATTATAAACTGTTCAAGTTTTCTATCTTACATCACACGAAGTCCTCTGACTTAAATTATAACTCTTTATTTTAACTCTGTTTCCACCATAAGTGTGGAATTCTGAGGCTGTTAGATTTTACTTTTTGAAGCCAGTTTCCTATTTCTAAGACAGTTCAGGGTCTAAGAGAACAGGTTGAGAAATTCATCGAAGATTGTGGGGTGTTCAATCAAAGTACCCCTTCTTTGAAATTTCTTTCATATTTACTACAATGCCTTTTCTTTGTCTAATTTTGTTTTATTGTGGTAAGATCAATCTTAATAAAGTTTTAAGTGTATAATACATTATTGCTGACTATAGGTTGAATGCAGTACAGTAGATATCTAGAGCTTATTTATTTTGCTTAATTAAAACTTCATACCCATAGATTAGTTACATGGAACAATATTCTGTGAAAAGAGGTGGGAAAGGTTGGAGAAAAGTGAGATAATGACCTGGGAATATAAGTAGAATTGCCAGATGGAATACAGAATGCACAGTTAACTTTGAAATTCAGATAACAATGAAATTTTTTTCTTCTATAAGTATGTCCCATGCAATATTTGAAACATACTTTTTCTAAAAACTTTTTCATTGTTTATGTAAACTTCAAAGTTAATTGTTTTCCTGTATTTTTATTTGCTAAATCTGCAGCCCTAGATATGTGAAAAGTGTTGGTACAAAGGGCAAGAGGTGGTCATGAGTGAGAAAAACTGCATGTGGAGCTGGGTACACCCGGAAGGAGTTGGAACAGGAAGACTCTAGAGGCAAGAATGACTATAGGAGTGAGCATAAAAAGGGAGGAAAGAAAACCTGCTTCTTAGTTCCTACAATTACACTTCATGAGAATATTTAAGAAATAAAATGAAAATAACCTAATCACTTGTATAAACAAATAGACAAAACATCAAATGTTAATGTTTTATCACATTCCCATGTAAAACACCAAATGTGGGCTTTTATAAATTCTGAATTCAAACTAGTTTTATTTTTACAAATCATTTCTCATTTTATCTGAAATAGTAACATCAGAACTGTATTTTGTAAAGTTTATTTTTTAATAAAATTGCATGTCTTTGGAAAATAGTTTATGTTCCAGGATTTGTTTCAAGATAATGTATATATGTTTGCCCTGTATGTTTATTCCCCACACCTGTATTCTAAGCACATAGCTGACCCTTTTGCAGATAGACCTCTGAGATGTTTTGGCCTGGCAGAGATCTTCAGTTACCATCTGGCTAGGAAAAGCCTAAAAAGATAAATGCTAAGATTGCTTCTGAGGACAACTAGAGACAGAGGAAGTAAGTGACTGTCAGAGCAACAGGCATGAAGTAGAAAAATATTTCCCAGGAAAGAAAAAGAGATGGAGGAGGAGAATGGGATGGTGAGGACTGGCATATTTCCTTGTGGTAGTACTCTGCCTGTAGACTGGTGAGTGAATGATTTCCTTGAGATATGGTTGAGGAGGCTCATCCCCAGGGCAGACATAGAGATCCTCAGCCTTCCAAAGTACATCAAACAGCTCAAGTACAAATGGAGCATAGGCAGACCTGAAGGGACCCTGAGCACTAGGCCTGCCGTGCCTCAGTAGTAACCATAACACACTAATGGCTGATGACCCAGGGCCTTCCTCATTTCCAGGTATTACCTAAGACCTGGGAACCTTTGCATAACACTGGGCAAAGGGGGTGGTCCACACGCCCCCAGTTAAATTTCCCACCAGCACAGCAGATATCTAGAGCTTACTTAGATAAGGTGAGGTGAGTCAGAATTAAGCTGATTTGGGAAAAAGAAAGTGAAATTTCTTGCACGCCTGTGGCCTAAGATTTATACCCATGCTACATATTTGCTTCATTTGAATTCCACGTTTACCAATTACTGGGAGGAAACCTTTTATTTTTTTTTTCTGATAATTATGCCTAAGGTATCATGATATGAAATACTAATTTTATAATTTTTTTCTAAGATATTGTAGGTTATAGAGAAATTCCCAAATTGCTTGATTTTGATTCAAGTAGGCCAGACTGTAACTAATTGTGTTTCCTCTAAGATTTGAGAATAATTGAATCTGCTTTTGCTTTTGCCAAGTCCTAGAGAGTAGTGCTCGATATAATAATATTTCCCTAGCATTACTTCAGCAGTCAAACAAGAATATAATCCAAAAAGCCCCCTGTATTCACAATGACAATGCTCTTATGATGAAACCACAGAAAGAAGTTGTAATTAATGCAAGGAATAATGTGAACAATCTATTAACATAATCTGAATGAAATCCTTGCACTGTTAAATGCAGACACTAAGTGCTCGTATAATACTTTATTAATTAACAAAGTATTTATTCACAGGGAAATGAGGATAAGAGACCATACACTTTGTCAGACTACAGGAAAATGTATTAGTGCTTCATAAGAAATGCGTACAATTCAAACAATGGCATGATTATCTTTTTAAAGCAATTACATTTAATCTCAGAAGAAAGAATAAATACATTAATTCTTCCATGTTCCCTGATAAGCCACCGAGATACATAAGCGATCATTTTCTTTTCCCAGCTCTGGAGGCTGGTGACAATTCAGCGTGTGCTGCTTAGACAACTTATACAGTGAAATACCACTTAGCACACAAAAACACATTATGAGATTAACTGACTTTTGGCTGAATAGAGTTCTCTTCCCTGGGAAGCTGTGGTTTGTACTTAACTTTGCACATTCCTTTCATCTTTGGAGACTTGAATCATGAGAAGGTGGATGCTTTAGTCTGGTGAGTATTGTTAAAACAGAATACCTGAGGCTGGGTAATTTATGAATAAAACAGTTTTATTTAACTCATGGTTCTACATGCTGGGAAGTTCAAGAGCACGGTGCTGATTTCTAGAAAGGCTTTCATGCTGCATCATAGCATGACAGAAAGTCAACAGGGGAGTGGATGTGAAGGGGCCAAATAGGTAAAGGAAACTTGCTTTATAACAACTTGCTATTGTGGGAACTAATCTATATCTGTGACAGCAGGAACTTACTTTTCAAGAAGGCCTTAACCTATTCATAGGGATACACCCCCCCATGACTCAAACACCTCTGACTAGGCCCCACCTTCAATACTGCTACACTGGCAATAAAACTTCAATATGAATTTTGACAGGAACAAACCACATCCAAACCACAGCAGTGGATTGCCTATAATAATGGTGTTTGGTGTTGAATTCCAAGTCTGTTTTTTTTTTTGTTGTTGTTGTTGTTTTATCTTGATGTGCTGGGTTAAACCAAGTATCATCACCAAAAATGTCTTCTACCTTTAAAGCTCCAAATGGAAGGCAAAGTAGTTAGCATCATGATTTCTTTCTTTCGACCTCACTCAGCTCTTCTTGACCTTCCAGACCTGGGAGCTGATAAGCAGAAGGTCCACTCCGCATCATATTAGCAGATTGTGACATTATATGATGATTTACTTACAGGCCTTGTGGCCAACAACTAATAAGACAGAGTTTTAGCCAACATGGCTCTTATTCATCACCTCCTAAGCAATAACCTGATTATCAGAGCTCCAGGTTACAGCCCTATACCAGTCTCTTGTCAATCAGTATCAGAAGGTCTGCTCCAAATTCTCTTATGATTGCTTCATAGCTGCCTCCAATGGCTACTAGCTTCTCAGAAATATCTCTTTCCAATTTAACCCAGGGACCAAGACGCAAAGTACTATGTGCCCTCAGATGTCATAATTCCTCACTGGGTTTGCAGCAGATAGATGAGAGCTGGTATAGGACTACAATGATAAAAAAAAAAATGTATCCTGAATAAGATGTTCAATAGGATAAGGCATAGAATCAAGAGATCTAAGTCCTCTATGTCATATGGTATGACACTGAGAAAATAATTCAAGCTTTAAGGCTTCTGTTTATGAGATCCATAAAATGGCTGTATTAATTATTTTTCTGTTGCTTCCTGGGGACTGTTGTGATGAAGAATTATTACTATATATGTGAAAGGGTTTTGTTTTTTTGAAAAGTACAGAATGTTAAAGAAATGCATTGCGTCATTGAATTAAGTCAGCCCTTCATAATGTTTTTCCTAAAGCATGTCTATCAACCATTGCAATGTACCATGAAAAAATTGCTATCAATGTTACATGATCGAATACATTTGGCAAAAACTTCCTATGGTATCTTCTTCTAAAAGATGGATGATGCTTGTTGGCATAATAAAGATTCTGAAAATTCCTATCAAAAAGACACTTGTTAAATTTTCGTTAACTCAATGTTTTCCTTACTTTTTTGACCACTGAACTTTTTTAAAAAATGGCATTAGCCATGAGGGGAAAAGACATAAAAATATAAAACAACAACAAATATTTCATGAAACTAGTTTTCTATAAAGCATAATTTAAGAAGCTGGGTAGAAAACTGTTTCAAAGGTGACCCTGAAGTGAAATGTGAAGACATCATAGTTTGTAAAAGAAAAGTTGCTTATTTTTATGTAAGTATTCTTAGGCTAAAGCTTGAATCGTGTCAATATGAAATAAAAAGGCATCCTATATTGTTGTCCACCAAGTTTTATGGCTTTCCATTCATCAATTTAAATATTATGATCATGATACTGATATTTCCAGGCAAAGGGCAAGGAGACAGTCAGAACTTCTCACATTCCTCATTGCTGCCACAACTTCCTTCCCAACCACCCCGGTGAAAAACAAACATCGGAAAGGAGGAGGTAAGGGGAAAAGTGAACAAATCCTTTCAACCAACCCTGTATGTCAGGAGACGACTAAATAACTATAACTGAAATAATGTTCAGTTCTTATTGGCTACTTTGTTTTCTTATCCAAGTAAAATTATAAGATCAGTATCATTTTCAAAATCTAGCAACCACAGAACAGCAATGGGCCAGGTTTTGAGTTTGGTTTCCATGCATCTTATCACTTTCTCTCACTTCTCTGTCTCCATTTTCCTTAGTCATTTTTCTCATTGTGTCTTCTTTGGTTTTCTTTAGCAACTCTATTTCTTTCCTTTTTTTTTTTTAGATATCATTGATTGTAAGGTATACCATGGATTTAGTAACAGGTTGGGCAGAAAGAAAGTAGATATAGTGATTTTTTACAGATCAATTCTGTAAAATCATATGATTTTATAAATTTATTTGAATAAAAGACAACCATAAAGTACTTGCTATTACACCAAACACAGTTCTAAGCCCTTTTTATTTATAATTCATTTACTCTTCGTAATTACTTGATCATAGATACTCTTGTCTTTATTTACAGATGAGGAAACTGAAGCAGAGAAATAAGGAATCTGTCCAAATCTCACAGCAAGTAAGTGGTAGAGGCCATATTCAAACTCAGCAATTCTTCCCACTGCCTTATTTGATCTCAAAAATCATTCTGAGCCTCAAAAAATGTATTATAGTTGATAAGCTATATTCCTGTTTTACACATCATAAAGTGCAATGAAGATTGGAACAGCATAATGAGTAACCTACAATCAACGATTTAGCTTTATATCTTACAGATATATATTACACTTCTACTAGGTGCATTCTGGTGCAGACTGTCCTTGGGGGAGTAAAGAGGTTCTGCCTCAAGGTGGTTACAGTCATGTTGGGGGAAAAAAAAGATATACACTGTAAACCAAAGTATGAGAGAAGACTGCCTTTTGGAATGCTGCTGCATATACTGTTTATAAATACTTCATTTATGGTTCCAGTTTCTTGCCTAAGATCACACAGTGATAAGTAGCAGGACTTGACAGTTTGTTATTTTTTGAAACAATATAATATTTAAAATATGTTAGATTTATTCAGTTGAGAATGTATGAATGTTTTCACCAAAGAACAAGTGTCTGCTTTACAGTCTTCATTGCAACCTGTTTTTTTCAATGACCTCATTCTTAAAATGAATTTCAAAAATGCCTTTCAGACATTCTATTTTGGTAGAGAACTTCTCTTAGTGGTCTTTTGACCTAATAAGCTGCAATGATATTATTGCTAATCAGAAATAGCAAGTATATGATTACAATACATTAGTGGGAATATGAAGCCAGTAACACTGAATTTTATTGAAATGCTGGAGAAAGTTGTCTTCTGTATAATTGAAAAAGTTGCATGGTATATTTTCCCACATGGACAACAAGCTGTCTAGGTAAAGGAATTCAGGGGGATTCTGAGGAATGTGGTACATATAGTCAGAGATAAGTTTTTTCTTGTTCATTCTGGAAACTGGCTTTACTCAGGAGAGATCTTGAGTTTCCTGGAGTCAAAATTGTATGTCCCAACACCTTACACTGATGGCTGAAGTGATCCAGCACTATCATCACTCCTCCACATGAAGTGACTGTATCTGGGAGGATCGACTCTCTAACTAGATAATACATTAAGTAGAATTGATCTTTGTGAAAATTTTATCTTTAGGCAAAGCTGAGTAGAAATGAAGTAGAGAGATTAAACTCTGGCACATTTTGAGGATGGGATAGCCTCATAGAAGGAGAAAGGGCCTATTAAAGATCGCTTGAAGCAGCTAAAATCAGAATTATAGTAATTCTCACACTAGTTTGCAAGTTCTTTTTCCAGTCACAAAAAGTCTCCATTAATTGTACTCATTAGAAGTCACTACTTTATGTCAGTGATGCTAGAGAATGAATCTGCCTGAAAGACTTCAAATTCAACATAGCCAGGACTTTGTCTTCAAGGAGGACTTTCCAGATGCTTCCAGAGAGATTGTTTTGTTATACGTTCTCAGTGAGCCCTGAATTTCTCATCATTTGCCACAATTATAGAAATTAGTTTAATCTGGCAACACCAGGATCCCTATGTTTCCAAATCCCCAACCCTCTGGAGTTACTCTTTTCTTTACCATTAATATAGTCAATTTGACTTCCTGTGTCCTTGAGGTAAGTGTAACCACCTATCCTATATCATTTAGAATTCCCATGAAAATAAAATTTACATTCTCCTTGGATCCCTCACTTCTTGGTCAGAATACTACTCGCATCTCAATTTTGATCGGCTTTCACCATTTAATTACCACTCCCACTCACAGGTCTCACTCTCTTGCCTTCATTTTCTAAGTAGGATAACAAGCCATTTGGGTTTGCCCTGAATGTGGGACTTTCTGGGCTAAGACTGGAAAAGTCCTAAGCAAACTCAAACACCGTGCTCACCTTATTCTTTAAGAAAGCAATATGTAACTCTATTATGTGTAACAACTGCTGAAGAATTGGGAATAATGATGGTGAAATATAAGCAGAAAGAGAAAACAATGTAAACGAAAAGATCAGACATCAGCGTAGCCAAGGTGCCTTGTCCTCTCTATGCTTAGCCTTGGTTAGCTGACATGTTTCACTACAGAAAACTTTCTCTCACCTCCTTTTCTCCCTGAGTCCCAAGCTCCCCACAAAGTTCTTTTCTCTTGATCTACCTGGGAAAAAACCAAACATTGCTGTTACTTTGAAATAAAGGATAATTTAACTCCCCTAGTCTCCATCTCTTTACTAGAGACCATTCTTTGAGGCTTGGTTTTCATTGCCAAGTTTTGTTGTTTTTGTTGTTGTTTTTAATAACAAGGATGGTCCACCCTGACAGTCTCTCTTGAGGTACACAACAAACTTTAACAGTTCTAAAACTGTAGTCCATCTTCTAGGAATGGAAAGGTTCCAAATTAAATATGTAGGTAAACCTCAATATCAGAGAGTATTTGCTTGCCTTTTTGAAGGAGATGTTTGGCAGCATTTTGGGTGAAATTGGAACAGATCTGAGGTGAGTGGGAAACATCTTTCTGCAGCTAACACTGTACCTTGTATCAATTAGGCACTTAAAAACACCTATTAAAATGCCATAAATATCCTAAAACCATTTAAATAAAAAATACACTGAAAAATATCTTAATATGGAAAAAAAGTTGTCTCGATTAACAAGAGTCCCAACATATATGGGTTCCAGAGTTAATTCAATGACTCTTTGCTGTTTTCAGGAGGCATGTAACTTCCATCTTTCAAACTCGACCATCCTCTGTACCTTTGCTGTGCCTCTTCTCATTGTCACAAGATGGCAGTCCTAATTTCAAATGCAATAGACTGCATGGCCACATCAATGGAGGAAAATAGGGAAATATACTTCTGTTCTCTTTTCAATTAGGGAAGAAAGTCTTTCCCAGCACTTCCCACCAGATTTGTCTTTCAGATTCATAAAGTTAAAGACAGGAAGCTAGGAAAACCAGGCTCTAAGTGAAAAATGCAGGCTCTCCTAAACAGCAGAGAAATAGAAGGCTATTGGTCAGGCAGCAAACAGAGACTTGTACTCACAGGAAAAGTGGGCCATTATCAGTAAATTGAGGTAGTGAGATTTCCTGTAAAATGAATTTATGTATAGAATATCTGATAATTTTTAGACACATTTTGGCAGAGACTGAATAGATGTTCATCAGAATAATTTCTTTCATGATATGCAGAAAGATTACCTTTCCCAGTACCTCTTCCAATTACAGCGGGCTGGTATGACTGAGATCCCACCATGGAAAGTGTGTAGAGGTGCCTTGGAGGAGATCTACTGAGAAAGCCACATCTCTCACATAAGACTAAGATGCAAATGAAAAATAACTTTTATTGATTTCTAGCACCACAATTTCTAAGTTTATTTGTTATTGCAGCATAATCTCTCCTGCCTCACTTAATATGCTCATCTAAGGAGAAAAATATTACTCAGACTTTCAATAACCCTTCTTTTGTGAATGGCATGCAAGGTCAAAATTGAAACTTATTCTTCATGATATATTTCTGTGGCTTCAGAAGTCAGCATATATTTACAAGTTGACTAGAATTTATGTCTTGAGAACCCCTATCCTTAGCAGAGTTTGTTTGTGCAAAGAAAAACGGACTGAGGAGGCCCAGCACGGTGGTGCATGCCTGTAATCCCAGCACTTTGGGAGGCGGAGGTGGGCGGATAACCTGAAGCCACCAGTTCAAGACCAGCCTGACTAACATGGAGAAAACTTGTCTCTACTAAAAATACAAAATTAACTGGGTGTGGTGGCGCATGCCTGTAGTCCCAGCTACTTGTGAGACTGAGGCAGGAGAACTGTTTGAAGCTTGCGGAGGCGGAGGTTGTGATGAGCCAACATCGCCCCATTGCACTCCAGCCTGAGCAACTCCATCTCAAAAAAAAAAGAAAAAAAAAAGAAAAAAAAAAAAGAAAAAGAAGAAAAGAAAAATGGACTGAGCTGTTTGAATTATTTTCATCATTTTAATAGAAGCGATTGCAAATTGAAGGTGAGGTTAGACTCAACTTCATTCTTTAAGATACTGTGAAAGGAAGCATTATGGAGTCAGTTATATATGGCCTTACTTTTTGTGTCAGTCATCATAATCCTGACTTTTATCACTGTGTCGTTCAAGCACTCACCAGCCTGCTGTGTGGGCAAATTTTGTTAGCCTCCAGGGATTATAAAGATGAACAGTGTCTTGTCCTCATAGAGCCAACTGTTTATATGTTAACATGAAAAATTCATGTCATATGAAGAGTAGTAGAAATGTACGCATGGTGCAATGTAACATAGAAGCAAATCTTATTAAATCTGCCTGGGGGATAATTCTGCACTATCTCTCAGACATAAAGCTCAACATAAGGCCCAAAGGATGATATCAGTGTTCAATAATGTTATCCTTTATCCTTACTCCAAAGCTATGTTCTAGCCTAAAAGCACTTTTCTTTTACAATTCTGTTTGCTCCAGAATTTTAGCTGTCATCAGTAGTGTGGTGACAAACAGATTCCCCCTTCCCAAATAAAGTCTTGATATATAACATTTACTAATTTCCATGGTGTGAACATTTTCATCATGGCCAATTTCAAGCTGCAACACTTTAAGAACCGGTCAAGAAAATTGCTGAATATTTAATTCACTATTTTGAGCATATATAAGCCAGCTCCCACACACCACTGGCATAATCTGATAAGATTATCCTAATCAGTATATCTTTAAGTATTTTTACACTTAAAAGGACTTTTAAAATTTTGGATTTTATGAAGATCTTTCATTCAACAAATATTATTTTTCCTTTTACTAGGTGCCCAGTCCTTTTATAGGTGCTGGAGATGGAGCAAGAAACAAAATAAACATGGCTCCTGACATTATGGTGTTTCTGATCTAGTGGACAATGATGACTATAATGGAGAAAAATAAAGTGGGGCAATGAGGGCACTGAGATCTTATAGGAAATACTACTTTGTATGTGGTGATCAGGGAAATTCTTATTGATCAGATCACATTTGTGCAAGGTTTATAAAGAAGTAATGGAGAAAGCCATGCAGATATCTGGAAGAGGACACTGAGGGTGCAGAGACTCTGAAGGAGAAGTGTGCTTGGCATGTTTGAGGAAGAGCAAGAAGACCACTGTATCCTCACTGAAATGAGTAGGGAACACAGTGGCAGAGTATCAGGTGATAGAGGTATACAGGTAAGATAGGAGGATACATACTATGGATTAACATTATTTATTAAATGCCTACTTTGTGGCCATAGAAATGGTAAGAGTATAAAGATACTGTTTTATTTAATCTTTACAAGCCTTTGGGGGAGTTATTATCATCCCACTCCGTTACCAGTGATGAATTTGAGGCATAGAATAGTATTTTAGTTTGAGTTACCCAAGAAGCAAATCCTAAAGAAAGGGCCTGAGTTCAAGTGGTTTATTTGCGAGCTGATTGCTGAAGATGCCAGCAGGAAATGTGGAAAGTGAGTCAGGAAAGGGAAGAGAACAGAAAAATGATGAGATCTCAAGACAACTATCACTGTGGACAACTGGAGCTTAATACCAGTGGAGAATTCTAGAGCTAGTGTAGAAGCATGACTCTCAGAGTTATCTCACTGAGGGGTTACAGAAATGGAATACGCATTATATATATGTATATAAAAATTATAATAAAATATAATAAATTATAACTCCTAGCAGTTATAGGCTGGTGCTATTCCCAAAGGGTGCTAATTATCTGTACTTTCAGCCTATTGTACATTTGAACATGTATCCAGTCACCAGAGGAAACATTTAAACAAAGATTGACAGGGGACAACAGTTAGTAGTGCTAGGTGCCCAAAACTGTTAATTCCAAAGAAGTTATGGGTGGCATACTGGGGACATTGACACTGGTATTTCACAGAATCAGAATTTACACACTAACCCATACTGCAGTGCTGGTGGAAGAAATTAAAAGATTGTTAGGACCTCAACTGGCCTACCTTTGTGTTACAGGGAAGGGAAATATGTTTTATTTCATAGAAGTCAATATACCCCTCCCATTTTGAATACTAGTACTGATTCATAATGAATATTACAACTAGTTTTCATCAGTAACCCCAAAATGTGACTAAGAATTATCATGGGTTTTATTTCAAAGTGATTGCCAATATAAAGAGCATTTAGAGATGATGAGCTTTTTTTTCATATGTTTGTTGCCCACATAAATGCCTTCTTTTGAGATGTGTCTGTTATACCCTTTGCCCACTTTTTGATGAGATTGTTTTTTTTTTTCTTGTAAATTTGTTTAAGCTCTTTGTAGATTCTGGACATTAACCCTTTGTCAGATGGATAGGTTGCAAAAAGTTTCTCCCATTCTGTAGGTTGCCTGTTCACTCTGATTATAGTTTCTTTTGCTCTGCGGAAGCTTTTTAGTTGAATTAGATCCCGTTTGTCAATTTTGGCTTTTGTTGCCATTGCTTTTCATGTTTTAGTCATGAAGTCTTTGCCCATGCCTATTCCCTGAATGGTATTGCCTAGCTTTTCTTCTAGGATTTTTATGGTTTTAGGTCTTACATTTAAGTCTTTAATCCATCTTGAGTTAATTTTTGTTAAGGTGTAAGAAAATGGTCCAGTTTCAGTTTTCTGCATATGGCTAGCCAGTTTTCCCAACACCATTTATTACATAGGAAATCCTTTCCCCATTGCTTGTTTTTGTGAGGTTTATCAAAGATCAGATGGTTGTAGATGTGTGGTGTTATTTCTGAGGCCTCTGTTCTGGTCCATTGGTCTACATATCTGTTTTGGTACCAGTACCACGCTGTTTTGGTTACTGTAGACTTGTAGTATAGTTTGAAGTCAGTTAGCGTGATGCTTCCAGCTTTGTTCTTTTTGCTTAGGATTGTCTTGGCCAAAAGAAATGCAAATAAATACCCCAATGAGATACCATTTCATACCAGTTAGAATGGTTATCATTAAAAAGTCAGGAAACAACAGATGCTAGAGAGGATGTGGAGCAATAGGAAGGCTTTTATACTGTTGGTGGGAGTGTAAATTAGTTCAACCATTGTGGAAGACATCATGGCAATTTCTCAAGGATCTAGAAGCAGAAGTACCATTTAACCCAGCAATCCCATTACTTTATAAAGGATTATAAATCATTCTACTATAAAGACACATGCACACTTATGTTTATTACAGCACTGTTCACAATACCAAAGACTTGGAACCAACTTAAATGCCCATCATTGATAGACTGAATAAAGAAAATGTGGCATATATACACCATGGAATACTATGCAGTCATAAAAAAAGGATGAGTCATGTCCTTTGCAGGGATATGGATGAAGCTGGAAACCATCATTCTCAGCAAACTAACACAGGAACAGAAACCAAACGTTGCATGTTCTCACTCATAAGTGGGAATTGAACAATGAGAACACATGGACACAGGGAGGGGAACACCACACACTGTGGCCTTTTGGGGGGTGGGGGACTAGGGGAGGGATAGCATTAGGAGAAATACCTAATGTAGATGACGGTTGATGGGTGCAGCAAACCACCATGGCCCATGTATATCTATGTAACAAACCTGCACATTCCTCACATGTATCCCAGAACTTAAAGTATAATAAATAAATTAAAAAATTAAAAAAGAATGTTTAGGAAAAATCAGTGAGGAGTTTTTCTTGAAGTCTAAACTCACAGTAATTTAAATAGACCAGAGATTTCCACCAGCAATGGTGCCAAAGACACAGGAGTTAGTTGATATCACTGGAGATTAATTTTTTTCTTCTCTCTCTGTTACAGTGATAGCACAGTTCAGAGGACCAAGAAGCTGAGGGATAGTGCAATGTGAGGCAATGCCCTTAATGGTAAGAGAAAGGGGAGGGTTGGAATATTGTGTTAAAAAATAGAACTGAGACATTTTCAGTGAAGAGTTGCTATGTTTGTCCAAGAGGCCTCATCATGTCCACATATAAATAGATATGAAGCAGCTCTGGCTTTCAGGGAGCAGCCCAAGTGTGCCTGTGGTCTCTCAGCTCATCCGTACGTGACATTTCACAAAAAGAGATGGAGAGTGGAAGTGACTGGAAAGAACCCTTTGGGTTATACTGATCATTGCTGTGTGCTCCATGAAACTCCACTATCTGAAAGGTAGTGGTCAGGAATTCAAAGAAAATCCTACAGAGAGTGTGATACAGAAGGTTTTGCATAAATTAAACGTAACACAGCCATTCCCAGACCTCTGAGATCTTGTTTTTCTCTCCAATCTCCAGTTAGATTATTTATTTGAAATGGTATCGAATATGCCTGTCCCTAGGCTAGGAGTAAAATAGCAATTTTGATGCTGAACATAAGGAGAAGAGAACAAAAAGATTAAAGCAATCAAAACAAAATGGGGCATGTTTTGGAAAAAGGCTAAAAACATGGCAAAGAGAATACCATTCTTTGCTGATACGCAAAGAGCCAAAATTTAAATAAATAAATGTTAAGGCCATGTTCAAGATAAGCACAATTGTTGGGTATAGAAAAATGAAAAATATAGCAGAAAAAGACATGATCAAAACCAGTGGTTTAAAACCATTTTTAAAACAGCAGAATGCTTTTATTCCAGTGTAATTGTACATGAAATTCAATTGATAAAGCAGATAAAAATGCAGCTGCTCCAGTAGAATAAGGGGAGACCAAAGGCACTGTACCTCTGCCTCTCTGTTTTCCTGCAGCTGCTCCTGTAGCCCTGCCAAGGAATTCTTACACTCTGCAAAATGGAATTTGAAAAGCAAACATTGTAATGCCACAACTTCTATCCATTGCATAGTTTTATAGGTGTTAAAATATTATTAACTCCTTTTAAACTGGTAGGTATACACTAATAAAGTTGCAGGCCTTTCTCCTTTCTTGTGTTCACAATTCTACATCTTAAAAATAGAATTGGAAGATGTAACAGCTGACAAAAGTACAAAAATTGAGCCAGCCTATCTCACACTTTTTGGTGCCCCTGCTGATATTGGCAGGAGAGAACTGTATGTGGATGATGTGCAGTATTCACATCAGTAATAAAATTCTTGTCTGCCCCTTATGGTCTGATTTATTTGAACTTCTTATTGTCTCTCAGATCCTTGACCCAGGGACTGTTGGTAATTTGCATTGCTTCTACTGAGTAAGTCGGATATGTTTAATATTTATCTTCAGAAGGTCAGAGACCTTAGGTGAACTTTGTATCTAGTTAACTGGAATGATTAATTCATACATCCAAAAGCTAAAGGGTGCTTTCTGTGAATTGTCAGCATCCATTCTTTGAAATGCAACAGGACGGTTTAATAGCTTAAATGCACTGGTGTTGAAGGTTTGAGGAGGGCTCAGTGCTTCTTGGTCTCATGTGGAACTAAAGGCACAGAAGCGAAAAAGACTATTTAGCCCCTGCTTAAGCCATAACCAGGACAGAGAAGTGCTTGGCCCTGTAATTTAAATCATTAATCTCCAGTGAAGAAGAGAAGGTGGGTTTATGTCACTTCTGAGTGGATAATCTGAGGAATGAAAAGGCTACGTATAATATGCTTGCTGTTAAAAGAGAAACAGCAGTCAGAGCAGGGCTGGGAGACATACAGACATTCAAATTCTTAAGGCTTCCCTGCTTCCAGCTTGCTTTCTCATCTGTAAAATTGGAACAAGAATAGCTACAAGACTGGGTGCGGTGGCTCATGCCTGCAATCTCAGCCCTTTGGGAGGCTGAAGTGGGAGGATTGCTTAAGGCGAAGAGGTAGAGAGAGAGGCTGCAGTGAGTCATGATCATGTCACTGCACTCCATCCTGGGCCACAGAGTGAGACCTTGTCTCAAAAAGAAAAAAAAAAAAAGTAAAAGAAGGAACAAAAGAATAGCTACAATGATAGGTTCAATTATTCAAAAATATTCGCTGTTTCTACCAACTTTATATCAGGAATAAACTTTCCTAGTTCATTGACATTGGATTTAGTCATGCAACTGGGTGGACCTCATCCTGGGCAGGAAGTACTTCATATTTTGGCTTTGGCCTTGAACTTGCACAGCTAGTGGGATATCAGAAGATGTGATGCAGTAACAGTTTAAAACATGCTTATCATGAGAAAAAATGCTCCAGCTATCCTGATGTCTAAGGAGTAGGAGAGGCTTGTTGAGTAGACCTGGATCCAACCTTTAGCTGGAGGTCAAGTCCAGCCTACATCACCAACCCCCTCATTGACCCACAGATAGGAGAACAAAAATAAATATTTTTTCTAAGTCCTGGGTTTTAGGGTGCTTTGTTACACAGCAATAGTTAATATACTTGTATATAGGTTATTATAAAGATTAAATGAGGTGATGTATATGAAACATCTTAATACAATGCCCATCAACCATTAAACGCTCAATAAATCATTTCTGCTATTTTTAACAATGTTCATATTAGCATTTGGGTTATTTTTCCTTCAAATGTTGCTGGCGAAAAAAGGGATAGCACATAGCCTTTTGGCTGGAGTCTTGGCCTGGTGAGAAAAAGCTTGGCAGAGTACATTGCGAGGCAAGTCTCCTTTATACTGCCCTACCCTTCTAGTTCTTTCACCTCCGTTGTGGAGCACTGCAAGCAATGGCAAGATTAGACATTTCTTTGGGATTTTTTTTCTTTTGGAAAGAGGTCTTTTCGTGGCAACCAACTAAAATGGTAGGCTTTCCACAAGCTTCTTTGGGTGTGCAGTTGTAAGCATTTGGATGCTTGTGGTCTGATGCCGGCTCTGCCACTAGTTTCCCTGTTGCCTGAGGAACTTAACCTCCCTGTATTGCACTTCCCTGATTTACATAATGGGGCTGATTATAATTGCCAACCTCACAGGATTGTTGTGCGAATTAACTAATGTTTGTAAAGTGCCTAGAGGTCCATAGATGAAAGGTGCTATATAAGCCTATTATTATGTCATCAGAAATGAAATTCCAGTAAGATTACCCTTCCATTTAAATTCCCATTAATTTTGTCATCATTCTAGATTAATTCTCACCAGTTTTCTAGAGCAAATAAATAAATAAATAAGAGAAAAGGGTGATATATTAAAACATGAAGCATTCACATGAAAAGGAAATTAGCTAGGAAAAGCTAACACTTAGAAGTGATTTTTAAATTATTATCCTTTAATGAGCCCTGATCATGTAATCAATATTATGTAAAACCTAGATATGGTCTCTGAGTTTACAAACTAAATTATAAACCTGACTGATTAAATAGCTAACATTTTCTATTTCAAGTGTGTAGAAATGAATGCTATATAAAGGCCTATAACTCAACTCATTTTTAAATTGGACCTCTTGTTATAGGAAATAACCCCAAAAGATTAAAAGTGTATAAAGAGTATGTTTATGAGGTTATCATGTGGTCTGGTTAATTCTATATTAAATCCATGTGAATTAGTGTTGATAATCAGACCTACTTAAGTGACCTGCAGGTAATTAGTACCATAAAGTTTGATTATAAATCTTCTCATAAAATCAGGAAATGTTAGATCTTGAACATCTGATTTAATCCCCTCATTTTACAGATAAGAAAACAGAGACCTCGAGTATTTAAATAGTTTACATAAAGTCACATATCTAGAGGTTGGCAGATTTGGGCCCCAAAGTCTCCAACTGATGCGGTTTCCAACACAGCTATTTGTACCTATGAATAAGAAAATTAGTTACTTATCCATGTTGTAACATAGATTATCTCTTCCATGCTCTTGGCATTGGGGATATAGTAGATAGATATTTCAAGTCCTCATTGTTCACTGAAGTAAGTTTTTTGTATTAATACTAGTAAAATGGCTGCCTTCATTTGGATACCATGCTGATTTCAAAAAATAAGACATTATTCTGGGTGTCCTAAATACATAGAAATGAGTCCTTTTTCCAGGACTGTTGACAAGAGATGGCAGATGGGGCCTTGGAATCTGTTTTCTTCTTTGGAAATCCAGGGGGTGGAAAAACATCCAGTTCTCCAATTCTAAAGATCTGTGCATCTGAAATGCTGGGTTCATTAGAAGTAAAGGATCGTACTAGATCCTATGCTTTAACAAGGACAGTTCACTGGATTCCTTTAAATTGTAATGCCAGTAGAAGGAGATGGATGCTGTCGCTTCATTTTCCATTAGGTAGATGCTACATACAGATAATAAAGGAAAAGTCTATTTAGAGGCCTAATGCACACTTATTTCTTAGGTTGCCTCATGCTGCTGATGTCTGAAGATGCAAATTTTCTTTTTAAAATTGGGAGTGGTATCAAGTCCAACTAAACTTCACTGGGTTATGGATGCAGGAAATTATGTTCCATTTGATGACTGCAGTGATGCCAAAAGAAACCGGAAAGACAAATGCCTGCCTTAAATATTGAGACAGAGATAGATGGACTAAAAGATGCACTATAGGAAAACAGCAACAAAAGCTTTAGTTAGTGAGAATCTTATTCCTTCGCTAGATTCAGTTCATCTTTTTCACTCCAGTACCAGCTTTACCCATAAATTATTTTTCTGTTTCTAAGAAATTGAAATGTTGGTTGCTCAACACTAAGGTGTGTAATCCTGAGGACTTCTTCATTTATTCCTACGTTCATTCATTCAATACTTTTCAAGCACCTCCTATCTTGTGGGATGCATTTTGGGAGGTGTTGTATGTAGTGACAAATATTATTGCTAATTTTTACATCATATTGTATATGTCATATACTGTTCTATCTGTCTTATGTATATTAATTCATTTGATCCTCACCACAACCCTATGATGTTGTAATTATTATCCCCATTTTACAGATGAGGAAAATGAGAGAGGTTGAGCAACTTGTTCAAGGTCATTGTATTAGTCATGTTTTTCATTTTCTGTATCTTATGTTTTGAAATCTTAAAAATCTTGGTGGTCAGTGAAGTCTGTCCTTCCAAGGGTGAGCCACTCTTTAGAGATAACAAAGGGCTAGGCCATGAGCATACCTTTCATACCCAAACCAACTAATCTCCAATCACCTGCTTTATGTAGTCTCATACACCAAGCCAATATTTCCTCTGACCTAAATTATTCCAGGGTCAGATACCAGGCAACTAAGACCACTCCCATAGCCCAAAGCCCATTGGAATTATTCAAACTAGTCAATCCTGAACATGTTATTCTACCCCACCTTGCCTTTCGTACAGAAACACCAATAAAACCTCTGGCCTAGGCTTCCTCCAAAGCCCTATTTCTGTCTCCTATCCAAATCTGCTGTCTCTTCCTGTGGCCCTGCATGGCATGCCACACCTCTTGTTTCTCAAAGTGTGAATGACATTAAACTTTTCTTTCAGTGGCATTGATGTCTCCATGTCATCTATCAGTCACTGTGTTAAATTAAGACCTGAGCACTATTTACTTATAAATTTGAGTCTGTGCTCTTAACGTATGTGCTATACTAATATAAATAATAACTTTAAAGGGCTCATTGTTTTGTTGGGAAACAAAGTGAGAACCAAACTGTTATAAAATACCATGTAAATACAATCATAAAGAGATCATTGTTATAACTGGCTCATTTGATAGCAGTATTATCAGTGTGAAAATGTATACCCTGGTTTAATTCATATTTGGAGAAGTTTGTGTGAACTTGCTTGTTTTTATTTAGTTCATTTGAATTCAACAAATATTTAAGCATTTATTATATGCAGACACTTTGTCAGTTACTGAAGACACACACACAAAAAGGGAGCAGAGGATAAAATGCAACTTTGAGTGGTGGAGTGGAGAACACAGGTACTTAAATAGCAACCATAATACAGTGTAATAGATGCAAACACAGAGGAATGACTGTGAGAACTCAAGGGAGGGGTAATTAGTTTTGATCCTAAAAAGCAGATGGGGCAGGTGTGCAGTAAAATTCCTGTGAAGAATTAGAAATTAGGAAAGTTTTGTGGGAGACGTCACAGGCTGGGGGCAGGAAAAGAGTGTGAAGTTTCATTTAGTTTGAAAGGAACAGAATTAGCCAGGATTTTGAGGCATGTTGTTATGCAAATCTGATGAATTGGTTTGTGTCTTTGAAGATCTGATTTTGTGGAATACCAAAAATGAGACTGGATTATTGATATGGTTTGGCTCTGTGTCCCCACCCAAATCTCATCTTGTAACTTCCACAATTCCCACGTGTTGTGGGAGGAACTCAGTGGGAGGTGATTGGATTATTGGGGGAGGTGGGTCTTTCCTGTGCTGTTCTGGTGGTGGTGAATGAGCCTTACAAGATCTGATGGTTTTAAAAAATGGGAGTTTCCCTGTGCAAGCTCTCTTTGCCTGCCACCATGCACGTGAGATGTGACTTGCTCCTCTTTGCCTTACGCCATGATTGTGAGGCTTCCCCAGCCAGGTGGAACCGTAAGTCTAATTAAACCTTGCTCTTTTGTAAATTGCCCAGTCTCAGGTGTGTGTTTATGACATACAGCACGAAACAGACTAATACCGTAAATTGGTATCAGTAGAGTGGGGCACTGCTGAAACTATACCCAAAAACGTGGACGTGACTTTGGAACTGGGTAATAAGCAAAGGTTGGAACAGTTTGGAGGGCTCAGAAGAAGACAGGGAAATGTGAAAAAGTTTGGAACCTCCTAGAGACTTGTTGAATGGCTTTGAACAAAGTGCTGTTAATGATATGGACAATGAAATCAAGGCTAAGGTGGTCTCACATAGAGACGAGGAACTTGTTGGGAAATGGAGTAAAGGTGACTGTTGTTATGTTTTAGCAATGAGACTGGCAGAATTTTGCCCCTGCCCTAGAGATTTGTGGAACTTTGAACTTCAGAGCGATAATTTAGGGTATCGCTGGTGGAAAAAATTTCTAAGCAGCAAAGCATTCAAGAGGTGACTTGCGTGCTGTTAAAAGCCTTCAATTTAAAAAGGGAAACAGAGCATAAAAGTTTGAAACATTTGTAGACTGACAATTTGATAAAAAGAAAATCCAATTTTCTGAGGAGAAATTCAAGTTGGCTGCAGAAATTTGCATGAGTAATGAGGAGCTGAATGTGAATCCCCAAGACAATGGGGAAAATGTCTCCAGGGCAAGTCAGAGGTCTTCATGGCAGCTCCTCACAGCACAGGCCCAGAGTTTTAGGAGGAAAAAATGGTTTAGTGGGTCAGGCCCAGGATCCCTCTGCTGTGTGCAGTCTAGGGACTTGGTGCCCTGTGTCCCAGGTGCCCCAACCATTGACTAAAAGGGACCAACAGCTTGGGCTGTTGCTTCAGAGGGTGGAAGCCCCAAGCCTTGGCAGCTTCTATGTGGTGTTGAGCCTGCAGGTGCTCAGAAGTCAATAATTGAGGTTTGGGAACCTCTACCTAGATTTCAGAAGATGTACGGAAATGCCTGGATACCCTGGCAAAAGTTTGCTGCAGGGGCAGGACCCTCAAGGAGAACCTCTGCTAGGGCAGTGCAGAAGGAAAATGTGGGGTGGGAGCCCCCACACACAGAGTCCCTACTGGGGCACTGCCTGGTGGAGCTGTGAGAAGAGGGCCATCATCCTCCAGACTCCTGAATGGTAGATCCCCCAACAGCTTGCACAGTGCACCTTAATGCCACAAACACTTAATGCCAGCCCATGAAAGCAGCCAGGAGGGGGTCTATACCCTGCAAAGCCACTGAGGTGGAGCTACCCAAGACCATGGGAACCCACCTCTTGCATCAGTGTGACCTGGATGTGAGACACGGAGTCAAAGGAGATCATTTTGGAGTTTTAAGATTTGACTGCCCCGCTGGATTTCAAACTTGCATGGGGCCTGTAGCCCCTTGGTTTTTGCCAATTTCTTCTATTTGAAATGGTTGTATTTACCCAATGCCTCTACCCCCATTGTATCTAGGAAGTAACTAACTTGCTTTTGATTTTACAGGCTCATAGGCAGAAGAGACTTGCCTTGTCATGGTTGAGACTTTGGACTGTGGACTTTTGAGTTAATGCCAAAATAAGTTGAGACTTGGGGGACTGTGGAAAGGTATGATTGGTTTTGAAATGTGAAGATAAGAGATTTGGGAGGGGCCAGAGGTGGAATGATATGGTTTGGCCCCGTGTCCCCACCCAAATCTCATCTTGTAATTCCCACAATTCCCATGTGTTATAGGAGGAACCCAGTGGGAGGTGATTGAACTATGGGGGCAGGTCTTTCCTGTGCTGTTCTTGTGGTGGTGAATGAATCTCACAAGATCTGATGGTTTTAAAAAAAGGGAGTTTCCCTGCTCAAGCTTTTTTTGCCTGTTGCCATTCATGTAAGATGTGACTTGCTCTTCCTTGCCTTCTGCCATGATTGTGAGGCTTCCCCACCCATGTGGTTCTGTAAGTCCCATTAAACCTCTTTCTTTTGTAAATTGCCCAGTCTCAGGTATGTCTTTATCAGCAGCATGAAAATGGACTAATACAACTATATTCATAATTTTAAGCCCAGATCACAGACAATACTGTATGGCAGTGGGGAGCAGGTCAGAGCAGTAGAGAGTGACAATTTTTGGAACTTGATAGACACAATTTTTGGAATTTGATAGACGCAAAACTTGAGTTCACATCTTGATTTTCTAACTCACTGGTTGGATGTCATTGGGTGAATTACTTAATCTCTCTGAAGTCCAATATGAATAATTTTGCCTACCGAAGATGTGTAAAGCACCTAGCTAAGGCAAAAAGAAAGTTTTCTTTTACCATCTGGACAAAAGATTCTAGTCAATTTTAGTCAAAATATATGTAGAAGTACAGAACCCCCACAAAGATTGCATGAATTTTAAGAATATTCTAAAAGCTATGGCAGCAAGATTCAAAATAGGTTTTTGTTAATATCCATTATAATATGGGAATTATTAAAAATAAGATGTACCAATTTTCTGCCTTGTTTTCTCCTTTGATCCCTTAGTAGCAGTCTCTTGTTTGGATGGGCCTGAAACATGAACTGGTTTGTGAACTCTTGAACTGTAAGTGGCTGGGGATATTATATCAGCAGAGTGTTACTCATACCATGCAAGAATTATAAATGAAAAGCAGAATGATGTATCAAATTGTTAGTGGCTTACTTTCATTTCCCAATGAGTATTTTTCTTTTCTTTCAGTCTTTCTCTTTCTTTTTCTTTTTTTTTTTCTTTTGAGACTGGGTCTTACTCTGTGACCTAGTTTGGAGGGCAGTGGCACAATCTCAGTCTCTGTTCACTGCAACCTCCACCTTCCAGGGTCAAGCAATCCTCCCATCTTAGCCCCCCAAGTAGCTGGGACCACAGGTGCACTCCACCACACCTGGCTAATATTTTGCATTTTTAGTAGAGATGGGGTTTCACCATGTTGCCCAGGCTAGCCTTGAACTCCTGAGCTCAGGTGATCCACCCACCTTGGCCTTCCAAAGTGCTGGCATTACAGGTGTAAGCCACCGAACCCGGCCTCCAGGCAGTATTTTTCATTTGCTTTTCATCACCAAATGATCAGGCCCCAACATCTCTTCCAAGTCTTCCTTCTTGGTCGCTGTATCAGATTTCCCTGGAGGATGCACACACACCATTTTATGAGTGTTTGCTATGTTACCTGCAGTTTGGGACGCTCGCTACATTTGCATATATTACAATGACCTTGGTTTTAAGCTTACTAAGCACTAACACGTTTGAACTCATCTGCTTTAGGCCTCCCTCTTGTCAATCGTAAGAGTTGGATTGATCACTGGATAATCTTTACTTCCAATGTGACACATATTCATTTATCATTTGATTTCATATTAGAGACTGACAGAAGTTGATTTATTGTGGATTAGTAGAGTAAATTCAGCAGTGTGTTGTTTCTTGATGCCACCTTAACAAGAGTTCATAGGGAGAAATCTGGAGTTAGACTGCCTAGATTATATCTTGACTCCTTCATATGCTGGTCTGGTGACATCAAGACAAATACCTTAATTTCTACGGACCTCAGTCTTCTCAAGCATAAAAGTACCTACTTCATAGAGTTGTGGTGTTAATTAAATGAGATAATATTTAGCCCAGTGCCTGGTATGTAGTAAGTACTCAAAAGATATTAGTTACCATTTTTATTGACAAGGACAACTCAGTGCAACTAACTTCCCTATGCTGTCCATTACATTAGCCACCAGATGTGGTTATTTATATTTAAATTAATTAAAATTAAATTGTAAAAAATCAATTACTTAGTTGCACCAGCTACATTTCAGGGACTCAACAGCCACATGTGACTAATGGCTACTGCTGTATTATGCAGATATGGAATATTTCCATCATCATAGAGAGTTCGGTTGGACCATACTGACAATAACATTGCCATCAAACCCTAACAATAATGAAAGAAAACTGGCAAAGGCACCACATACTAAAAAAAATTCAGTTGTCTGTTCTGCTAGGGCTTTAAGCTCAAAGAAATCCGAGATACCTAGTTTAAGTGTGTGTCACCCTTTTGAAACAATTATAGCCTTATTTTTTTCCAGTTGTTTTGTTTCTCCCTGCCCCCTCTCCTATTTTAAATATCTTTCTGATGGAGTTACATTCCATATGTAACATTGTTACAGGTGCAAAATTGTTTCTTTTAATCCTGAATGCGGTAGCACATGTGCAGCAACAGCACTGAAGGCCAACACACTATTACTGTGCATCCAGGCCTCTCTCTCACAGTCTGTGGGTCAACAACGTTCTTCTTTGCTTGCTAATGCTTTATTGTCTCTTAGTATACATTGGAATAATAATGGTAATTTATGCAGATATTTTGTATGCATAGCAAATAATGAGAAACACCTGCAGAAATTTCCCTCCTTCTCTGAGTTCAGCAACTAATTATATTTTTAAATAATGGCTACCATTGAACACAATTATCCAAATCACTTTAAGTAATGGAATCTTTTTAAGGTGTTTTTGAAAATTTTAGCACAGTTTTTAAACACTCATTTTTATCTAGATGATGGGAGAAAAAAAAAAGGCTAGTGGGCGGCTTACTAACCCAAAAAGCAGTTTCTGCCAAGAATAGATCGGTCCGGAATATTCCTCTGGGCCCAGTCTTCACTCCAGAGGTTATGACCAGCTGATGAAAACCAGGTTTTCCAAAGAGCTTACCTTCTTGATTTTGGTGCCTCGCTCTTCTTCCCTTTCTTCCTTTCTTAATGTAATATAAAAATAATTAGATTGCCTCTAAAAATTCTCTGTTTTAAAAGCACAAATTGCCACATGATTTTCCCTTCTGTCAATTTAATAGTTTGAGTGGGAAAAGCACTGGCTGGCAAGTCCGAAGACCTAGATGTTTTGTCTTCCTCGGTCTCCATTTCCTTTTCCATACATTTGGAAAGTGGAGACAGATCAATTCCTAACACCTTTCTAACTCTAAAATCTGCAACTCCATGACAGCCACAGATCTTTGTACCATAGCACACCAGGAATCAGGTTTAGCAAAGAGAATCTGAAAAATAAAAGTGGCTAGCCAAGAGCAAGGCCAATAAAAATACATATTTTCCTCTCCATATTGAAACTTTGGGTTGTGTTCTTAATTGGAGCAAAGTTCCAGTAACTCGATGTATATGTGTGTAATGTGTGTGTGTATATTTACGTGTGTGTACATATCTGGAGGTTGGAAGTTAAATCCTCAGACACACACACACACACAGATATAAATACATATATATAAATAGAACAATTTGGAGAATTTACATCTTCCTTTTAGGCACTGTGGCATTGCCAGCATGATGTGAAGGTGATCGATTTCACTTCCTAACATTTCTAACCCCCCTTCTATGTGCCTACCAGGAATTACTGCTCCGTGGAAGGAAAAATCAGCTCTTGCATAAATCATATCTTTTTCTGTCAGATTTGGGTTCATTTGGTCGACTGGCATTTATGGAGTGCTCCTTAAAAAATGAATAAGTAATAAGAATTCCTGACCTCATGGAGTTTACAATCTGGAGATGGAGGTAAGTGCAGTATCAATCAAATTCAAAATAAAATGGATGAAAATAAAATAATATGTAGGAGCTTAGAAGAAACAACTGTTTATTTTCACATGGGAAATTAAGGAGAATCTCTTGAAAGAGGTAAATTTGAGCAGGACTCTAAAGAACAACAAATAGTGAGCTTATGTGTTCCAGATTTTAGTCTATAGACTAGCACTACTGTATACTGAAGTTTAGCTAATCTAATTGATAAAAGCATAAAGGAGAAAAAGAAGAAAGATGAGATAAATGTGATGATTTTTAAAAACTAAATATAGCTAATGGAAAAGGATGTCTTTTTTTCTTTCTGAGATTATGTTCTATCTGTTCTTTTGTTGCTAAAGTCTCCTTTATTAAGCAATGATCAGAATATATGGTAATTATCAGGACTTCTTTCACCATTTTTTTGGCAAAATATTAATAAAAAGCTGGCAAATAAGTGTCAGTCTCAAAGCCTGAATATTTGGTTGACATTTTACTGGATCATTAAATCTAAATTCTGATTCCTCTGTGTTACAGTTCCCCTATTTCCTTCTTTGTTTTGCCAACTTTCAAGGGGCTCTGTGATTTCCTAAGAGAATGAAGGAGGAAGGTAAGGAGCCAATTGGCTTTTTAGGTTTTATTTTTCCTGTCAAGTATATTACATTGATAATCTCAACAAGAAAGAGAGAAACAGACAAACAGAGAGGGAGACAGACAGAAGCAGAGACAAAAAGTGAGCAAATGCAAGGAGCAATGAACAGTTTGACGGTACAGTTCATATAAAAAACCAGTTGATGGACATTTTTCAATACCCACAAGAAAGTAATCACTACACATATGTGGAGGAACATCTCTTGGTCATTGTTTCATTTAATCATATCTCTTCTCTCTTTTTTTTTTTTTTTTTGAGACTGAGCTGAGGTGCAGTGGCATGATCTTGGCTTACTGCAACCTCTGCCTCCCAGGTTCAAGAGATTCTCATGCCTCAGCTTGTGCGCATCACCATGCCTGGCTAATTTTTGTATCTTTCCTTTTAGCAGAGACAGGGTGTCACCATGTTGGCCAAGCTGGTCTTGAACTCCAGACCTCAGGTGATCCGCCTGCCTAGGCCTCTCCAAGTGCTGGGATTACACGCGTGAGCCACTACCCCCAGCCTAATCTTATACGTTTTTAATGAACAAAAAGAAAGGGAAAAAAGTCAAGGGAAAGAATTATAGTGGGTTGGGCATTAACTCCACAGGAAGCTTCAGACCAGACCTGAGTTGAACGTGACAAAAGGAAATGCGTGTGCAAAGATGCCTCCCGAGCCCAGTCATGGTAGACAGTGGCATCAGAAAACCAAAATGAGAAATAACTTTGCTTTTTAAGTTCACTATTTTAAGGGGGGAAAAAATCATTCTTCTTAATTTTGGAATTTGTGCTAAAACTTAAGTTGATGCTAGTCCTATTTCCTTAATATATAAGCTTCCTCTCTTATGAGAGCTTTTGATGTGACTCATCTTGCAGGTGAATAGTTAACAATTAAATGCCTGTGTTTTTATTAACAAGGGAAAGGTGTGCACTTCTAAACAAAATGGAGGCTCATGAGCAAAACCTGCGGAGCTGTCCCGGCAATGAAGTGAAGAGACTTGTAACTTGGTGCCTGAGCCTGTTCTAGCTGAGGGAGGGAAAGGAAGGAGTTCATTTGGAATCGGAAGAGTAGGTGATATGTTGTCGGTAATTATATTGTCGGTAATTATATTATCGCCATACTCTTGCTTCTGGACGACCAGCTCTCTTTCTATCACCCTCCTTCGACACACAGAAATCATGTCCGTTTCCATCCCGAGCCTCATTTTCCATGTTAAACTTTCAAATACTTAAACTCTGTGGTGAATGAGAAAGACTGTGGCTTGAAAATGGCTTGACAAGAACGAATGCTTTCATTCTTTCAAAAGGATCCTTAAAGTAGAATTGAAAGTCGGCATTGTAATTACTCAGAATGTTGAAGTGTACTAAAACACATCGCATCCGACTTGCGTGGATGGCTGCAATCTTTTGTAGACACAGTCATATGACCGTGGTGCAGATTCTTGTCTCTGTTACTAACAACACTTTACTTTTACATTAAACACAGTCTTCAGGGAAAAAAAAAAAAAAAAATCTACTTAAGGGACAGCTCTTGGCTCTTGCTGTTCTGAACATAGCTTAACACAGACAGAAAGTATTTGTGGGCTGTTTACAGTTACGGTGTCAGAAGAATGCTTTTTATCACGGTAATTTGGAGAGTGTAAGATGGTGGCCCCTGGGGAAATCTGACTCAAAATAAATCTCTAAAAGCATATATCAAAGGTGCTTGGAAAGATCATTTTAGAGGAGCTGGTTAATTGTAAGATTTTTACCCCCTCTCAGATGATCTTTGAGGATAAAATCTGAAAGGACAAGCATAATCTAGATTTAATTGTACACTTACGATGTTCCTTTAGGAAGTCATTAATATTTTTAATAGTGAAGTTATAAATTTATTTCTAAAGCTACAGAGACAGCCTAAACTGCCTTTTTTCCAACATACACTTTAACATATTCAAAAATGTCCTAAAATGTGGACTCTATCCCCTATAGGAGAGTATTTTTCTAATACCACCAGGAAATAAGCATCAGGATGCCTGGCTGTTCTTTCACCCCAAACACCAAAACTTATACCTTACTGAAAATAAGTCAGAAAAACTTGAGAGTTCTGGGAATGCCTCTAAATACAAGGTGCAAGTAGATCACTACAGTATGCTGTGTCGAAATCTGTTTAATAGTCACCAGATTTTTACTTTCCTCCGTTCTTAAATCGCACTATTGAAGCATAGCCACAAGAGGGAACCATTGTTTAAATGTTGGAAAGACTGGGTTGGTTTGAGGCATTCATCCAGCTCAAACCTCTCTTTAATATAAGAACCTGGTCAAAAGGATTGAACAAAAAAAGTAAAAAAAAAAAAAAAAAAAAAAAAAAAAAAAAAAAAACCAGATGCAGTCATCGATTCAGTTATATTTTAGATAGCTGAACTATTTCTGCTTTTAAACATACAAACAATCAAAGGTGTTCCTAGGACTGTAACCTGGCAACAGAAAGCAAAGACCGGAGTCAAGCACCTAATAGAAATTCATGTAATAAAGAAAGCACTGGTGAGTTTTTATTTTTCCATTGCTTCTAGCTTGCCTAAGAATAAGGCAAACTTTTTTGACACAAACAGAAAATACTGAACTATTAGGAAACAAAGACAAATCTAAGCCTTTAAGCTCAAACTATTGCCTATCAAATAGCAAATCGTAACAATGATTGGTAACCGGAGAAGGGGAACATATGTTGTAAAGACTTCTTGCTTACCGCCCTGTGAACCAGCACAATTGTGAAATTTAGACTAATGTTATAAAAGACATATAGAATGGCTTCTTGGAGGTTGCACGGCACCAGGCTGGCACAGGTCCAGTTTCCGCACCAACAGAACTGCAAAACAAACTGGAAAATATTTGATGCCAGTAGGGCTTTTATAGGAAAACAGATGACGGCTGAGATTATTAATCCTGACAGTTTCCTGATTTATTAGGACGTGTTATCCTCTCCTTTTGTATAATTTGGCAAATGATCATAGTATTAGACTTAGTGGAGGCAGAGCTAAAGGTTTCCGCCCATCCTTTAACAGTGGCAGCAGGTATATAGCAACACAGATTGGGTTTAGGCAAGAAGTAGATGAAATGAATTTTCAGTTACATATTGTCATTTGAGGAACACTGAGTGAATTTTCAGTTACATATTTTCATTTGAGGAACACTAAGTCGGTGTTTTTTGTTTTTCTTTTCTTTAAGGACTGTCAACCTAGATACAGCTATGTAACTAAAATGCATTAATTAACTCTGAGAAATATACCTTTTGTTTATTTAATAAATCCAAAGTAAAGGTGACTAAATTTAAAACCCAGGTCTCTAGCAATTAAGAACAAATGTTACTGTTTACCGTGAAAGCAGTGAGAAACAAAGAAAACAGTCAGAAAATAGTAGTAATCTTTGAAAGCCATTCCTCTAAATTGTTATATGCTATAAAACGAAACACATGGAATTTCTCACTCTGAATCATTCATACAAAAATCACTAAAACAATCTTGAGTGACTTCATAGTAAACTCAAGAAAGAAAACACTTGATATATTTTATTAGTGATCTCCTTCACAAAGATATTTTTATATTCTATTTTTATAATCCCTTGAATTTAAAATAACTGCAACAGAAATTAAGTCTCAATCAAAATGTATCACAAAGATATTTCCAATGAAACAATATTATCTCTGAGACAGTTTTATCAAAATATAAAAAATCAAACTTAAAATACTATAATTGAACACTTTTTTATTAAGAAAAACCATGCCTGCACCTATGTTTCAAGACTGACATATTGTGCAATAAACAGCAATCAGTCTAAAGATGCTATATTAAACAAACCAAGTTTTGTTTTGCTAAACTAAGCAAAATTAGTTGAATGCCCTAAGTAATAGTTGCTGGTATTTTTTTCTAAATTATTTCTCCACTTGTTTTTGTGTCTATGCATAAATTAAAAATCTGCTGAAATTTATTATTCATCTGAGATGTAATTAATATGCAAAATTATGCAAATTAAGATGCAATTAGGCTTCAATTCTCTAGTGGAATTTTCCATTATAATTTAATACAAAGTAATAGAGTAATTGGTGTCACGTGTAATTACGGTTACTCACGTGTACTTGCAGACGTGCAAATGATGTGGTATATGTTAGTTATCCTATGCAAATGGATCATGCAATCTCTTAATACTTGGGAATGAAGTAAACAAAGATGGTCTTCAAAAAACGGGTGAGAGGGACCCCTCTTTCTTCTCATGTGCTACCATTTTGAGGCACTATGTGAATAATTGTAACTAATTTCCTTGCAGTTATTTCTAAGAATTTTTAAAGTGGTGTTATGCAGTGCATTGTTTATTACTTTAGAGAAATTATTTCTAGCAAAAAATGAGTCTTTAAACAGAGACCTAATAGTGATTCAGATGCCACATAGGTGCACCCAGGATGACAGCAAGCAAACAAAAACTGTGTCTATCGGGGCAGAGGCTGTTTTTGTATCAGGCTCAAAAAGTCTCTTCTCTAAAAGAAATAACATAGCCAGCTTTGCCAAATAAATCATTTAACAATTTTCTGTTATTTCCTGATTATGAAGTTGACCAATTTGCTTTGCAACCTTTGCAGAAGCCACACAGTTTGATTTTTAAAACCAAAATTTCTTCCCTCCTAATATGCAAAATTCTAGGAGAATTCAGTGTCATTTCTCTCTGAATGAATAAAGCAATAAGTAAATTGAACTATATAATTCTGTATGTCACTAACTCTGCCATTTGGTTCAAGGGACTCATCTGCTAACTACCGTGTTTCTCCCTGTGCCTTTCTACAGAAATGAAAAGAACGGCTCTCCCATGCGCTTGTCCTGAGCCTGGAGCTGCTGCTTATAATTTCTCCATGAGAAATGATTACTGCTTGTTTTAAAACACCCATGCTGTGTTGAATCTTGCACAGAAAACATTATGATCTCGACACTTTCCTTCTCATAACTGAAGCACACACTTTAAGACGAGTATTTTATATTCTCAGCTCCAATTAACCTGAAGTGTTTCTCTTCCCTATGTCTCCCCCCACCCCCCACCCCCTTCACCTGAGTCTATCCTTCTACCCTTTGTAACAGACAGATTTTGTTTTTCCAGGAGGGGATGTGTGATATACTCTGTTATAATTAATAAGTGTAGGCACTGGAAAACAGGAAGGGGCATGATATAAAGTAGTAGATGAGCAGCTTCACTCTTTCTCCACTATATTCCTACTTCCTATCCCTTTTCCTCCACCCACTGTGGATGGTTATTTGAAATAACAGGCATGGATAAGAGAAAATAAAAGCTACCATTTGTCTCTGAGGCTGCACCCTTTTGTAGCCCCACCCATTCATCCATATGTGGCTTTCCCATTCATTCCAGTAATAATACCAATTACTATGCAGGCAAGGCCATTCTTATTCACATTTGCAGCTCACTGTGGACATTTATGCTACACTCTGAGCAACATTCATATCTTCAGCAACATCGATTATACAGCTGTTGTACAATCATTGTAAATGAAATATACAATGCCTCATTCAGCTCTCCAAATCATTTGTGATCCTTGGATGTGGGGCAGGAGGGAGGTAGCTGTTCCCTCTGCCTTACTTTTCTCTGGCACTGACCTCATTTTCTAAGTCCAGATACTTCCAGGGGCTTAGGGTAAGGAAGAGGCCAACAGGCCAGTTTGTAAATAAGAACCAAAAAAGCTGAAGCAGTGGTTTGTTTTTGTTTGTTTGTTTGTTTTATTTTTTTGACAGGAGGGACTTTGGAATCCAGTTTAATGGAAAAAGGAGGCCCCTGAGTCTTCAACGTCACAAACAATGACTGTTCCTGGACTTGTGTGAACACACATCCCAGGTCAGACAGATGGACCTTGACTCAAGCTTTCTGAGATCACCCAACCAGAATGTCCAGTGTAGGCATATGCTTCTCTCTTTGTGCTATTTCCTCTCTTTCCTCATCAGCTTTTCTCCTCTGTTCTCAACAGGTTACATTTATTGGCCAAAACCAATATTACATATCCGTTTTTTCTTCTTTGAGGAAATTTTTTAATTTGGTCTGCCTTTTCCGAAGGTATCTAATTCATGAATCTTTTGATGTTCCTTTCTTTCCCCAATTTTGGTTCTTTCAGCCCTCAGACTCAGATAGCTGAATTGACATACACAAGATGCTCTACACGTGACCATCCACTCACCCATGTACAGTCACATGCAACGATTGCAAGTCAAATTATGTTTGTTTTATAGATAAAAAGGTCAAGGTCTTAAAGAAGGCTATATAGATAATAAATGATGGAGCCGAGACTTGAGTGAAAAGACTAGCTTTTTTCTCTATAAAAATTTATTTTTATTTATCAAATGCTTTGATATTTCTTTATCTAAAGTTTTTCAAATAAACTTTTTTACATTTTATCATCTAGGAAAGTCAAAAATATCTTATAATTAATAAAATTTTGACAGTAATTCTCAGAAAAACAGCAGTGATTATGTAGCTGTTGATGTTTGTATATGCACAAACTTTTTTTGTTGTTATTCTAGGTGAGTGATGGAACAATTGAAATCCTTTGAATGTTTAGCCAACAATCTTTAACTTAAGGACCATTTAAAGAAAGAACACAAGTCTTCCTGTTTGAAAATTCTCCATTGACATCTTCTAGTAAGATCAAGAAAGTGCCAACATGAAAACTCTTGTTATGGTTTCAGTGACTTAGAAAAAATTCCAGGAGACAATGGGGAGCACTCTTTTAACTGCTACATCACCAGTGCTGCTAATAGCACCAACAATAATACTGTGTTTAAATCACAATGGAAAACTAATTCATGTCAGACTAATAATGTGGGGAGGTTTTAAGAATACAAACCAAGTTATTTCACTTAGTATTTCTTATACACACACACACACACACACACACGCCCATGAGTGACATATGATAAAAATTACTGTGAAAATAACTCTGAAAGAGCTCTTTAAATAATTATAAAACAATAATTTCGAGTGATAAGAAAGCATTGTGTCATAGGTTAATTAGCAGCCATCTTTTCTTTCTTAGGGGCACATAAAATAATGATGCATCTTGTTTTTAGTGGTGTCTCAGAAACATGGAAATATATTAGAAACTCATTTCGTCTCATAAACATTGTAGGAGGTTGGTGCTATTTGTTTCACTTTATATATTAAGGACTGAGGTAACAGAACTAACTTGTGAGGTTATGTATCTAGTACATCCTGAAGCAAAAATTGGAACCCAGATAATTTGACTGGAGTTCATGCTTACACTGGACCAAATCTGGCCTATAGACAGAATTTGTTAAGTTTAGACATTGATTTTTTTCTCTAAAGTTATTATTACTTTGCTGTTGTTGTTATAGGCACTTAAAATCAGGAAATTTGGGGGAAGCAAGATGGCCAAATAGAACAATCTAGCAATTCTTCCCATGGAGGAACATCAAATTTAACAACTATCCCCACAAGAAAGCATCTCCATAAGATACAAAAGTCAGGTAAGCAATCACGGTAGCTGGTTCTAACATTATGTCAAGGAAAGAGGCACTGAAGTGGGCAGGAACGACAGTGTTGCATTGCCTACATCACTCCTTCCTCATCTTTTGGCAGCTCATGAAGAGAGAATCTGTATGCTTGGGTGAAGGAGAGAGACATGATTGGGGGAACTGGCATTGAAACTCAGTCCTGCCCTGTCACAGTGGAACACAACATAGGGCAGAATTTGTCCAGTGACCATGGAAGAAGCATTTAAAGCAGCCCAGCCAGAGGGGACTCCTCCACTCCAGTGGCAAGAGCCTGAGTTTTGCCTGGCCCCACCATCAGAAACTAAAGTGCCATGGAGTCCTGAATAAATATTAAAGGCAGTCCACAAGGACTGCAGAACTTTGGCAAGTCTTTGTGCTGCACTGGACTCAGAGCCAGTGGACTTGGAGTGAATGTGACCCAGTGAGACACCAGATGGGGTGGCCAAGGGAGTTCTTGCATCACCCCTCCTCCAACCCCAGGCTGTGCAGCTCAGGGAAAGACTCCTTCTGCCTGAGGATAGTAGAGTAATGAGTAAAAGGAGTAAAAGAGTAAAGAGGACTTTGTCTTGCAACTTGGATATAAGCTTAGCCACAATAAGTAAGGCAGCAAGCACCTGAAGCCTCTGATTCCAGGCTCCTTGATGGAATTTCCAGACACACTCTGGGACAGAAGGGAATCCACTGCCCTAAAGAGAAAGATCCAGTCTTGGTAGTATTCACCACTTTATGACTAAAGAGCCCTTAGACCTAAAATAAACGTCATCTGTAGCCAAGCAGCAGTCACCACAGGCCTTAGGAAAGGCTCAGTAACATAATGGCTTCCCGTATGACCTGGCACGGTCCCAGCTGTGGTGGATGCAGGATTGCTTGCATCACCCTTCACCAACTCCAGTTCAACATGGCAAGACTTCATTTGTTTGGTGGAAACTGAGGAATGAGAATAAGAGACTCTGCCTGGTAATCAAAAAAGTTTCTGCAGACTTTATCCAAGCCCACCAAGGTGATACTTACATGAGTCCGCAAGAGTTGCAACATTACTGGGCTTGGGGTGCCATCTAGTGCAGATACAACTGTAGTGACCAAAAACTTAGATCACAACACTCAATTCTCTTTGAATACCTGGAATGCCCTCTCAAGGAGGATGGTGCAAATAAGCCCCGACTGCAAAGATAAAAATAAGTACCAAACTCTTTAAAGTCCAGACATTGTGAACATCCACAAGCATCAAGACCATCCAGGAAAACATGACCTCACCAACTGAACTAAAATAAGGTACCGGGGACCAATCCCAGAAGGACAGGCATATGTAACATTTCAGAACAGAGGATTCAAAATAGCTATTTCAAGGAAGCTTAACAAACTTCAAAATAATACAGAGAAGGAATTAAGAATCCTGTCAAAGAAATTTAACAAAGAGATTGAAATTTTTAAAAAGTCAAGCAGAAACTCTGGAACTTAAACATTCAGTTGACAAACTGAAAAATGCATTAGAGTCTCTCAACGGCAGATCTAATCAAGCAGAATAAATACCGAGGCTGAAGACAGGATACTTGAAAATACACAGTCAGAGGACAAAAAAGAAAAAAGAATGAAACACACTTACAATATTTAGAAAATAGCCTCAGAAGGACAGATCTAAGAGATACTGGCTTTAAAGAGGAAATAGAAAGAGAGACTGGGGTAGAAAGTTTATTCAGAGAAATAATAACACAGAACTTTTCAAATCCAGAGAGAGATATCAATATTTAAGTACAAGAAAGCCATAGAACATCAAGCACATGTAACCTAAATAAGACAATTAATAATCAAACTTCTAAAGGTCAAGGATAAGGATACTAAAGCATCAACAGAAAAGAAACAAATAACATACAAAGGAGCTCCAATGTCTGCCAGCAAACTTTTCAGTGGCAACCTTACTGTCAAGGAGAGAGCGGCATGACATATTCAAAGTGCAGAAGGAAAAAGTCTTGTCTTAGAACATTATATCCAGGCCAGGTGTGGTGGCTCAAGCCTGTAATCCCAGCACTTTGGGAGGCCGAGATGGGTGGGTCATGAGGTCAGGAGATCGAGACCATCCTGGCTAACACAGTGAAATCCCCTCTCTACTAAAAAATACAAAAAACTAGCTCGGGCGAGGTGGTGGGCGCCTGTAGTCCCAGCTACCCGGAGCTGAGGCAGGAGAATGGGCATAAACCCGGGAGGCGGAGCTTGCAGTGAGTGGAGATCCAGCCACTGCCGCTCCCAGCCTGGGCGACAGAGCGAGACTTCCATCTCAAAAAAAAAAAAAAAAAAAAAAAGACGTTATATCCAATAATATATCCAACATATCCTTCAAACAGGAAGCAGAAATAACACTTTCTGAGACAAACAAAAGCTGAGGGATTTTTGTCCAACACAGACCTGTCTCACAGGAAATGCTAAAGAAGTTCTTCAATCTGAAAGAAATGGTATTATCAAGCAATAAAAAATTATATGTGGGTACAAAAACTCACTGATCACACAGTAAGTGCACAAACACAGAATACATTAACATTGCAATTTGGTATGTAAATTACTTATATCTTGAGTATGAAGACTAAAAGACAAGCCTATTGGAGAATATAATAAGGTAGGCCAAGCACAGTGGCTCATGCCTGTTATCCCAGCATATTCGGGAAGCAAAGTGGGCAATTGCTTGAGGTCAGGAGTTTGAAGGACCAGGTGGCGCCAAATGGTGACAACCCGTCTCTACTAAAATACAAAAATTAGCTGGGCATGGTGGAGTGCACCTGTAATCCCAGTTACTCAGGAGCTGAAGTAAGAGAATCCTGCCACCTGTGAGGCAGAGTTGCAGTGAGCTGAGATCACGCACTGCACTCCAGACTGGGCAACAGAGTGAGACCTGTCTCAACAAATCAATAATAACTACAAAACTTATTTAAAAATAGTACAAAGTGACATAAATAAGAAACAAGAATTTAAATAGTGGGGCTGATGAACTTGAATTACACAGTCTTTTTTAGTTTTCTCTTTGCTTGCTTTTTTTTTTTCTTAGAATCAGAGTAAATTGTCATGCATTGGTCATCAGTTTAAAGAAAATAAATGTCTTAGTGGGACTGGGCCTGGTAGCTCAACACCTGTAATCAGCACTTTTGGGAGGCGAGGCAAGGCGTCCGAGGTCAGGAGATTCAGGACCATCTGGCTAACACGGTGAAACCGTCTCTACTAAATATACAAAAAAAAAAAAAAAAAAAATTAAGCCGGGCATCGGTTGGGCACCTGTAATCCCAGCTACTCGGGAGGCTGAGGCAGGAGAGTGGCATGAACCCAGGAGGTGGAGCTTGCAGTGAGCCAAGATCATGCCACTGCACTCCAGCCTGTGCAACAGAGTGAGACTCAGTCTCAAAACAAACAAACAAACAAACAAACAAATGGTGTATAAGATGTAATTTGCAAGCATTGTGGTAGCCCTAAGTAAATAAATACACAAAAGTAGATACATGAAATATGAAAAGCAAGAAATTAAAACATACCACCTGAGAAAAATCGCTTTTCCACAAAGGAAGACAGGAAGGAAGGCAGGCAAGCAGGAAGGAAAGAAGGCCATAAAACTACTAGAAAACAAAGAACAAAATGAAAGTAGTAAATTCCTACCTATCAATAAGAACATTGAATGTAAATGAACTAAATTCTCTAATCAAGGGACATGAAATGGCTCAATGGATTAAAAAAAAACAAAAAACCAAAAAAAAACCATGACCCAAATATATGCTGCCTACAAGAAACTCACTTCACCTATGAAGACACACAGACTAAAACTAAAGGGATTAAAAAGATATAACATGCAAATGAAAACCTAAGAAATAAAAATAAAAAGCTGGAGTAACTATACTTACATTAAATAAAATATATTTTAGTACAAAAACTATGAAAAGAGACAAGGTAATTACATAATGATTAAGGGGTCACTTCAGCAAGAGGAAATAACAATTTTAAATATATTCATGTACAACACTGGACCCCCCAGATATATAAAGCAAATTTTATTACAGCTAAAGAGAGTTAGACCTCAATACAATAATCACTGGAGAACTAAACACCCCACTGTCAGCATTGGACATACAAAAAATTAACAAAGAAACATTAAACTTAATCTGCACTATAGACCACATGGACCTAATAGATATTTGGAGAACATTTCATCCAACAGTTGCAAAATACAAATTCTTCACAGCACATGGATTATTCTTGAGAATAGACTATATGTTAAGTCACAGAACAAGTCTTTAAAAACTAAAAAAAAATTGAAATCATATTAAGTAATTTGACCACAGTGGAATAAAAGTACAAATCAATAACAAGAGGAACTTTGAAAACTATACAAACATATATAAATAAACTGTATGCTTCTGAATGAGGAGTGAGTCAATAAAGAGATTATAAAGCAAATTTCTTTAAACAAATGAAAATGGAAACACAGCATACTAAAACCCATGGGATACAGCAAAAGCATTGCTAAGAGGAAAGTTTATAGCAGTAAGTACCTGCATTAAAAAAGTAGAAAAACAGCCAGGTGCAGTGGCTCATGTCTGTAATCCCAGCACTTTCGGAGGCTGAGGTGGGAGGATCATGAGGTCAGGAGATCAAGACCATCCTGACTAACACAGTGAAACCCCGTCTCTACTAAAAATGCAAAAAATTAGCCAGGCATGGTGGCGGGCACCTGTGGTCCCAGCTACTGGGGAAGCTGAGGCAGGAGAATGGTGTGAACCTGGGAGTTGGAGCTTGCAGTGAGCTGAGATCGCACCACTGCACTCCAGCCTGGGCGACAGAGCAAGACTCTATCTCAAAAAAAAAAAAAAAAAAAAAAAGTAGAAAAACCTCAAATAAACAACCTAATGATGCATCTTAAAGAACCAGAAAGCAAGAGGAATCCAAACCGAACATTAGTAGATACAAGAAATAATAAATATCAGAGCACAAATAGCTAAAATTGTAACAAAAATATGAAAGATGAAAAACGTGAAAAGTGAAATTTTTGAAAGGCAAGTTTTATTCAAATGTAGAACAAAAGAAAGAAGCACAAATAAAATCAGAGATGAAAAATGAGACATTACAACTGATACTGCAAAAATTCAAAAGATCATTAGTGACAACAATGAGCAGCTATATCCCAACAAATTGAAAACCCTAGAATAAATAAATAAATCCCTAGATATATAAAACCTACTAAGATTGAATCATGAAGAAATTCAAAACCTGAATAGACCAATAACAAGTAATGAGATGAATGCTATAATAAAAAGTCTCACATCAAAGAAAATTCTGGATCCCAATGGTTTCACTACTGAATTTTACCGAGAATTTAAAGAAGAACCAAAACCAACCCTATTCAAACTATTGCAAAAAAATAGAGGACAGGGGAACACTTCCAAACTCATTCTATGAGGCCAGTATTACCGTGAAAACAAAACCAAAGACACAACAAAAAAGAAACAGCATGCCAATATCTCTGATGAACATTGATGCAAACATTCTGAACAAAATACTAGTAAACCAAATTAAACAACACAATAAAAGGATCATCCATCACAACAAAGTAAGATTTATGCCAGGGCTGCAAGAATGTTACAACCTATGTGACTCAATCAATATGATACATCATATGAACAGAATGAAGGACAAAAAACATATGATAATTTCAATCAATGCTGAAAAAGCATTCAATAAAATTCAACATCTCTTCATAATAAAAATCCTCAAAAAGATGGCTCTAGAAGGAACATACCCCAACACAATAAAACACATACATAACTGACCCAAAGCTAGTATCAAATGTGGAATACATGAAAGTCTTTCCTCTAAGATCTGGAATATGACAAGGATGCACATTTTAACTATTGTTTTTCAACATAGTACTGGAAGTCCTAACTAGATCAGTTAGACAAGAGAAGATATAAAGCGCAACCAAATTGGAATAAAAGAAGTCAAGTTATCCTTGTTTGCAGATAATATGATCTTATACTTGGAAAAACCTAAAGACTCTGCCAGAACACTATTAGAACTGATAAATGAATTGGGTAAAATTGCAGGATACAAAATGAACACATAAAAATCAGCACCTTTTCTGTATGCCAATAGCAAATAATCTGAAAAGAAAAAACTGAGAAAGTAACCCCACTAACAATAGCTATAAATAAAATAAAATATCTAAGAATAAGCTTAACCAAAACATGAAGGATCTCCACAATGAAAACTATAAAATATTGGTGCAAGAAATTGAAGAGGACACAGAAAAATGGAAAAATATTCCATGTTCATGAATTGGAAAAATCAATGTTGTTATACTATCTATTCTACACAAGGCAGTCTACAGATTCAATGCAATCCCAGTCAGAATACCAATAACATTCTTCGTAGAAAGAGAAAAAACATCCTAAAATTTATATGATACCACGAAATGCCCAGAATAGCCAATGCTATCCTGAGGGGGGGGGGGGGAAACAAAGCTGGAGGAATCACATTACCTGATTTTAAATTATATTACAGAGTTATAGTAACCAAAACAGCATGGTACTTTCATAAAAACACATAGCTCAAGGGAACAGAATGGAGAACCCAGAAATAAATACACATACCTACAGTGAACTCATTTTTGACAAAGGTGCCAAGAACATACACTGGGGAAGGGACAGTGTCTTCAACAAATGGTGCAAGGAAAACTGGATATTCATATACAGAAGAATGAACAGACCCCTCTCTCTCACTATATATAAAAATCTAATCAAAATGGATTACAAATTTAAGTCTAGGAGCTAAAACTATGAAACTACTAAAAGAAAACATTGGGAAAACTCTCCAGGGCATTGGAGTGGGCAAAGGTTTCATGAGTAATAGCTCACAAGCCCAGGCAACCAAAGCAAAAATTGACAAATAGGATCACATCAAGCTAAAAAGCTTCTGCATAGCAAAGGAAACAATCAACAAAGTGAACAGACTATCCCCAGAATAGAAGAAAATATTTGCAAGCTGACCATTTGGCAAGAAATTGATAACCAG